ATTACTTTAGTAAGCATAACAACATTTTAAATGGTAGAAGTTCAATTACTTTAGTAAGCATAACTCCATTTTAAGTGGTAGAAGTTCAGTTACTTTAGCAAGCATAACTCCATTTTAAATGGTAGAAGTTCAGTTACTTTAGTAAGCATAACTCCATTTTAAATGGTAGAAGTTCATTTACTTTAGTAAGCATAACTCTAATTTTAAATGGTAGAAGTTCAGTTACTTTAGTAAGCATAACTCCATTTTAAATGGCAGAAGTTCAATTACTTTAGTAAGCATAACTCCATTTTAAATGGTAGAAGTTCAGTTACTTTAGTAAGCATAACTCCATTTTAAATGGTAGAAGTTCAATTACTTTAGTAAGCATAACTCCATTTTAAATGGTAGAAGTTCATTTACTTTAGTAAGCATAACTCCATTTTAAATGGTAGAAGTTCATTTACTTTAGTAAGCATAACTCCATTTTAAATGGTAGAAGTTCAATTACTTTAGTAAGCATAACTCCATTTTAAATGGTTAAACAACTTCTGCAAACAAGGAAATTCCAAACCTTCTTTCATCTGTATCAAACTAAATAATCTCGTGAATCACTGATTGAAAACTACTTCAAAGGATTAACAGAAATTAGATCAATATTTAATTACTTTCCGAATTAAATCTGACATGTACGTTTTATTGACCTCTGTAGGTTTGCAGCAACCACAACGAGACTTGGAGCAGTGACTGTGAAGTCCATCGTATGAGGTGTTTGTGTAATAAAGGCAGTGAAGAGTGTCTGGAGAAGAAATACGACCACGTTCATGTTGATTATTATGGAACTTGTATTGGTGGGCCCTTTCCGTCGTTTCTATCTTATCTTATAGCTAATAACTTCATTCACCAGAGAAATAGCTTGTTGACCAGGTTCACTATGGTTTCAATTATAAGTTTTTATTCTGATGGAGGGCCCTTTCTGTTGTTTCTAGCCTATCGTAGCTAATACCTTCTTTTACCGAGAAATAGCTTGTTGAAAAGATTCAATATGGTTTTAATTCTAAGTTTGTATTCTACTGGAGGGACCTTTCTGTTGTTTCTAGCCTATCCTAGCTAATACCTTCTTATACCGAGAAAAAGCTTGTTTACCAGGTTCACTATGGTTTTAATTCTAAGTTTTCATTCTACTGAAAGGCCCTTTCTGTTGTTTCTAGCCTATCCTAGCTAATACCTTCTTTTACCGAGAAATAGCTTGTTTACCAGGTTCTCTATAGAAAGAATATATCATACAAAACAACAGAATTCACATCTTCTAACCTTGTTACCGGACTTAATGTTGCATATTTTCTTTCTCTTGATCGAAACGTTGAGTATTTGGTTATTATTTCAATACTTCTTATATCGGTTTTTACTTATTTTAGGTTCACTTTGTATGGATTTAAATACAAAACGTGCTTGCTAATAGAGACAGATATTCCTGTGTAGACATTATTTATTTTTAAGTCTGTAAAGAGTTGTTTCAAACTGTAATTATTGTTATTATTATCCTTTTCAATATCATTTCTTAAAAACTAAATTGTCATTAGTGTAGTTTTACACGTTTATCAATGACGTATCTCTACTTACGTTACTTTATTAATTCATTCTTATTTCTTTTATTTTTGTTAAATATAAAAGTCGAGAAAACGAGTTGTTTGTTTGTTATGAATTTCGCGCGAAGCTACACGAGGGCTATCTGCGCTAGCCGTCCCTAATTTAGCAGTGTTTGTTTGCTTGTAATTAAGCACAAAGCTACACAATGGGCTATCTGTGCTTTGCCCACCACGGGTATCGAATCCCGGATTCTAGCATTGTAAGTCCGCAGACATACCGCTGTGACACTGAGAGGCATTTAGCAGTGAAAGACTAGAGGAAAGGCAGCTAGCCATCACCACCCACCGCCAACTCTTGGGCTACTCTTTTACCAACGAATAGTGGGATTGACCGTCACATTATAACGCCCCGCGGCTGAAAGGGCGAGCATGTTTGGTGTGACGGGGATTCGAACCTGGGACCCGCAGATTGCGAGTATAGCGCCCCCTAACCAACTGGCCATGCCGGGCCGGAAAACGGGAAAGTATCTCCGAAGTGGAAAAAATAAAATAATAACAAAGGCTTGACTTGCCCTTATAGTTGTTGATAATTGTAAGCGTGTAAAAACGATAATAACCTTCTATTCCATGCGTACCACTAAGCGTCTTTAATTTGCTTGACTGCTAAGTTTTAAATACGTTTCACACAGTTAGAGGAACCTGCATAAACGATGACAAATTCCTCCTTTTTGTTACCTTATTCTCATATATTGGAAGATGCAGTCAAAAAGGTTTGTTGTTGTTGTTGTTGTTTTGTAACGTTTAATATAATCATTTCGTTTCTTTCAATCAGAAATCCCAGAGTGTATCAAAGAAGAGATGGGAGATTTCCCTCGGAGAATACGGGAATGGCTGTTCGCTGTAATGCAGGAACTAGCTCTCCGAGGTGAGCTTGGTGCTCACTACATGAAGTTAGAAGAAGAGGCAGAGGAAGATCTATCACGCAAGTGGGTAAACGCTATCATTTGGAAGTTTTGCGACCTGGATTCTCACCCGGAAGATAGGTAATTCGTAAACCGTTTGTTCTGCCTTTAACGCTAAAAACTACGAAGATACCAAGGAAAAAAAAAATTCTAGTGGAACTAGTCTTATTTGTTATTATATTCTCAAACGCTTCTGTGATCGATCTTATGTTACCACGGCGAGTGTTTTTAAAATGTACAACAGAAATATATGAATATTTGATAAATGTTTCATTTTCTTGTTCAGCTGTAGCGAAGTATAATGTTAAAACATCGTTCTCTAGGGCTGTTTCCCGCCACGAACTATTCCCAATTCGAGCACCTTTGCTTGCTATGGAACATTGTATTGCTCCGTTCTTGGACAATTGCGATTCTGATAGCGACCATATTATCACCCTGGTTGAATGGGGATCTTGTCTTGGTCTCAAAGAAAGTAAGTGAAACATAGTTCTAAATTAATTGCTCATTTTATTCAATTTTCTCTCTGAGAAATCCTTGAGTTCTATATCTGATAATTATATAACCTATTTAGGTTTAAGGTCATTCAAAGTAGTCATTCTCCAGTGAAAGCAAACAAAACTCTACGGTGAGCTTCATGCTGAACAACGTGCCCACTTTTGTTTGTATGTTGTTTGTTTGTAATTAAGCACAAAGCTACACAATGGGCTATCTGTGCTCTGCCCACCACGGGTATCGAAACCCGGATTCTAGCGTTGTAAGTCCGCAGACATACCGCTATGCCACTGGGGGGGGAGGCTTGTATGTTGTTAAGCATAAAGCTAAAGAATGGGTTATCTGTGCCGTGTCCCGCCGCAGGGATCGAACTCTGAATTATAGCGTTATAATCCCTCAAGCTTACCAAGCTATTTATTTGTCAGCTAATAAATTCTAATTAAATACAAAACGAGGGAGATGATATTGTATAACATGAAAAAAAATTAGCTTCTACGTTATCAATGTTTTTTTGTTTTAGTTTCCTGTTGTTTTTGTTATTTTAAGAAGGAGAAATGCCACAAAAAAGCATGATAGAAATGCTTTACGTGAAATAAAAAACACCGATATTAAATCATTATGAATTAGGTACGGCTTGCATTATTAGTGGTATTCCACTTCCCCCGAAATCCTTGGAAAAATCTGGCTTCGAATAATAATCTACCAAGTTAACCTTTATTATTCATTGTATTGTTGTCATACGAAATGATGTTGTGGAAAAGACAACACGCGATCTCCTTTTTTTTCACTATTGATTTCTATTTTAAATAACTACGAAAACATCAGTATAAAAGGTATCTGTGTAAACTGTAACATGTTGAGAGGATCGCCATTATGATTTAGACTCGAATCGACTGTAAAGACGATGGTTAACGTTTTTAGTAGGGCTGTTATGAGACGTGTCTAGATATTGATGCCACGATACCACACGTATCCAGATACAAAAGTCTTGCCAACGGTTTCTTACAAAGTTTGACTGTCTTGACAATAAAACTTAATTAAAAACAGCTGTATAATATTAAGAGCTTTAAATTATTTAGTGTAAGCAAATGTAGTTTCCTGCTACAAATTGAAATAATTCTAGAAAGAAAAAATTATAATTTTGATATATATATATATATGTGTGTGGTTACGAGGCTGGTCAAAATGATTGACTTCACTTAAAATTAGGGTAGTGAATATAGCAGATAAAATATGAGAATTTATCGAAAAAAAGATTGAAAATTTATTTCGGAGGTTTTAGAGATTACACAAAAAAATTGTTCTTAATTTTTAAATGGAGAAAAGTATTTTAAATCTTAACATGAAAATCGCTTTACACTTGGAACAGTGACTACTTTGACTCCTATATTAAAACATTAATATTTAGCAAAAATACTTTATTAGAAATTCTGATTTTTTCTGTACAAAAGACTTATAATGTTTACTGAAAGCTTGCCAAATTTCGTGAAAACACATAAATCGTATCGGACGATGTATCGATACAATCGTATCACGACTTCACGATACGATACTCGTGTCGTATCGCTGTATCGCAACACCCTTAGTTTTTACAGTAATAAGAGAAATAGGCTTCAGAACGTAAAATAAAAATATATTAAAACACTTGCCAACTCAATCGATTATCGTATCTTGTGTAGAATTTTATCCTTGACAGTCATACAGATACAGAAAAAAGTAGTCTGAAACCAATCTAAACTGTCGTGTGAAAATGGAAGAGATAAGAGTTGAAATAAACTGTCGTGTGAAAATGGAAGAGATAAGAGTTGAAAACTATTCTAATTACAGATTCTTCTTCTTCTTCTCTTTGGTGAAAGTGGAAAGAGTGAACGTGCACTTGAGTCCCAGTGGTTGGTAGTATAGAGTTTTAAAACATGAACTGGAGAAAAATGTTAATTAAGGCTTTTAATTCACCATGCTCTTGACGAATGTCGCTTAGATTTACTATTGTTAATTAATGATATACAAACATAGTTAAGTAGTGTTGTATACAAACGTAGTTAAGTATTGTTTTATACAAACACAGTTAAGTACTGTTGTATACAAACATAGTTAAGTATTGTTGTATACAAACATAGTTAGGTAGTGTTGTATACAAACATAGTTAAGTAGTGTTGTATACAAACATAGTTAAGTACTGTTGTATACAAACATAGTTAAAGTACTGTTGTATACAAACATAGTTAAGTACTGTTGTATACAAACATAGTTAAGTACTGTTGTATACAAACATAGTTAAGTACTGTTT